GTATATGTGTGTGTGTGTGCGAAAAATCCAGAGAGAAATGGGAAAGAAAGATGAACGTTTCGGCCGATCTGGGCCTTTGTCAACACCTGACTGATCGTCAGGTGGTTACCTTAAGGTTACCTTGAGGTGCTTCCGGGGCTTAGCGTCCCCGCGGCCCGGTCGTCGACCAGGCCTCCTGGTTGCTGGACTAATCAAGTGATCAGGTGATCGTCAATTGTATATGTGTGTGTGTGTTGGGAAGCCAATGAGGAAGAGCATCGAGGAGAAAGCACAACAGAACGGCGCGTATAGACTATAAAATGTGACATAGACAAGTGTGATCCACAGATATATCTGTATGTGGCTCTGGTGCATAGTGAGGAGGGGGTGAGAGAGGGGGGGGCGTCTGTGTCAGGGGCTACATGCACTCTTAGAGTTTGCAAAGTGCAAGCAACGGACAGAGCAAGATGGGTGACGGGGTCACTACGTCCTGGTGACCGGTCATCCATAATAGTGGCCCGTGAGGACGCCTCTATAGTGGCCTGTGAATTATTCCCGTGTAGACGAGGCCACGCGGGCCGCCGCCGCTCCACAAACGTTCAGGAGCGAGTTTGGGAAACTCAAAAGTTGCAATTATTTGATATCAGAGGAAATTTGTGACTTCCTTTGCGGTTTGAGCTTCGATGCCATGTTGCTTTCCGCGACTTCCTTAGTGCAGTAAGCTGCGTTATAATGAACCTTTCAGTACCTTCCTTGGTGGGGTAAGCTTCGATACAGTGAAGTTTTCTCTGATGTGGGTTCAAGACGGAGTTTTGAACTGCACCACCCTGATGATTTCCGATGATCTGATACAATGAAAATTCATTATATCAGAGCTTGCAAAATAAAAATAGGATCCCTTGATTGTTTCAAGCGTAGGCGAGACATGCATATGATTGAGATTGGGTGGTTATAACTAGGAGCTGCCTCGTGTGGACCAATAGGCCTTCTGTAGTTACCTTTATTCTTATGTATAAAGTTCCTCAGTAAAAATAATCATATCGGCAAAACGGCATATAATATTCCTCCACATACGGGCTATTCATGCCCGTGCATACCGGGCTATTCATGCCAGTGCATACGGGCTATTCATGCCCGTGCGTACGGGCTATTCATGCCCGTGCCACTTTCTGGGTGACTTGATCTTCATCAATCTCATCAACCGGCACGTAATAGAGTGATTGATGAACGCATCGGAGAAGCCACCGACACCAGTTCTCAACCCATCCGTCAACACAGTTTGCGTGCAGGGAGAGAGAGAGGGAGAGAAGGCCTGCACGCAGGAGTTGAGTGCAGCTTAGGAGTGCAGAGGAGAGCAGGCAGGACTTACAATGTTACCGGAGGTCGTGTTGAGGGTCTTGTGTAAGTAGAGGCTGAGTAGGGTACTTCCTGGCTTACACAGGATTGACGGTTGAGAGGCGGGACCAAAGAGACAGAGCTCAACCCCCGCAAACACAACTAGGTGAGTACACTGTCTCTGTGACAGACACTGGCTACCCAAAACACTACTGTGGGCCCTTACTGTACCCTAAACTACCACTCACAAATTACCTCCCACCAATACTAACGTCCCCCCCCCCTAAACTACCCACAACTGTACGGAACAGACAGACAGGTAACATGTAGCGGACGGAAGGTATCGTGTTAGACAGAGAGGAGGCGGCGTCAGGAAGCAGCAGACAGTAGCGCTGGCGAACTAGGCCATTAGAGTGGGTGTAACAGTGGACGGAGGAGGTAGTTAGACGGGTACCCAGTCCACCACTACAGTAGACGGGAAGTGAGACGGGTACCTTGCCTTGAGGTGCTTCCGGGGCTTAGCGTCCCCGCGGCCCGGTCGTCGACCAGGCCTCCTACCTTAGGTACCTTGAAACTAAGACCAGGTAAATGCTTCAAGACAGTATTTACCTTTGATAAAGGAAGCAATAATGTGCAGAACGTGCGGGCGAGCTGACAGCCACGTGGAGAACCAGCAGGTGAACCTGGTGGCCCGTCATTAGGGTTCGAACCTGCATCACGGCTCCTGTGGCTTTCCTAATCACTATTATTATTATTCACAAACTTTAAGCACGTCTCCCCTCAAAGCACCACAAAGGGGAGTCTTCCCTACCTTTGCTAAGCCCTTATAAACATCCTCTATAAGGGTTAATTTCCAAGGAACTAGCTGATTAAGTAGTTAGGGGGGGGAGGGGGTGGTTTCTACTCCTAATGTTGTCTATTAATTACTCTTAACAGAAGCAAATATTGACTCAAAACCAGCCAACCGGTTCTAGAATTTGTAATATGCTCCGAGTCCCTTCATATGCGAAGGATTTATTATTAATCAATGTCAAACACTGAGATTTTGAAAGACATGATTGTTGATAAGTCTTTTATGTGAGAGTTATACATATACACTGAGGGGGGGGGGGGGAGGGAGGATTATGGACTTTATCCTGCCTCTCTGATGCCCCGTCTCATCCTAAATCCTTATCCTGATCCCTTCCAAGGGTTAGATAGTCGTAATGGCTTGGTGCTTTCCAATGATGCTTCCCTTCAATCTGATTGTGTCTATTGTGCTTTCAAGTGATGGTGTGATGTACACCATGCCTCGAACCGGGGTACAGCTGAATGTGCATGCACTGTACCTCACTGCACTGTACCACATTGTACCAAACTGTATTGTACCACATTGTACCTAACTGTGCTGCCTACACTACAGCACAAAACTCACCGTAGTGAGAGCTGTGGAGGTGACTCGAGGAGAAAATATGTACTTAGATGACAACTCTGAACCACAGCCGAGAGAGAGACAGAATATTTTGTGTAAACGCAATTAATTGCATGTATATTACTGCATCGGGACGGTGTGTGTGTGTGTGTGTGTGTGTGTAATTACCTAAGTTACAGGATGAGAGCTACGCTTGTGGTGTCCCGTCTTCCCAACACTCTTTGTAATTAACCTAAGTGTAATTACCTAAGTGTAGTTACAGGATGAGAGCTACGCTCGGGGTGTCCCGTCTTCCCAGCACTCTTTGTCATATAACACTTTTTTATCACTTCCTAACCAGAAACTACTGACTGGTCTTGGCCTCCACCACCTTCCCGCCAAACACACACCGAAACTACGACGTTGGTACAACGTTCGAACAAGTTTTATCACTTCCTAACCAGTTATAACAACCAATATAGCAAGTTGTAACAACGTTCTAATACGTCATAAACACGTTAAGCCAAGATTTAACAACTTTATTACAAGTTTGTAACAAGCGGAAAATAGAGACAGTTTCGGTTTGTGTTTCCAGGCGTCACCTAACTTGTTCCAACCGTCCTACCACTCTGTTAGCAAAAGAAAACTTTCTAATGTTTTTTCGGCGCCTCGTTTCCTTGGCTTGAAACTGTGTCCCCTTGTTCGTAAAGTTGCTGGTTTCAAGAATTCCTACGTCCAGTTTGGTATATTCCTGTCAGTATTTTGTAAGTGGTGATCATGTCACCTCTTATTCTTCTAATCTTCTAGTTTTTGGCATGTTTAACGCCTCTATTCGCTTCTTTGTCGCTTGTGGTTTTCAGTTCCGAAGCCATTTGTAGCATCGAGGTTATCTTGAGATGATTTCGGGTCTTTAGTGTCCCAGCGGCCCGGTCCTCGACCAGGCCTCCACCCCCAGGAGGAGCCCGTGACAGCTGACTAACTCCCAGTACCTATTTTACTGCTAGGTACCAGGGCATAGGGTGAAAAGAAACTCTGCCCATTGTTTTTCGCCCGGCGCCTGGATCGAACCCGGGACCACAGGATCACAAGTCCAGCGTGCTGTCCGCTCGGCCGACCGGTTCCATGCCTTTGTACCTTTTCCAGTTTATTTATGTACTTCTTGAGATTTGGGCACCATACAACTACAGAATATTCTAATAAATATCGGATATATTTATATTGAATATATAATATTAGATATATATAATATCCAATAAATATTGGTTATATTTAAATATAAACAGTAAATAAATGTGTGTTTCATGAAGCATCTCGTATTGCACTCCGAGAGACACTGTGGCTCATATTATGTATTCACACTCATGCTTCATAAAGTTGGTTTCATAGTTTTAATTTGGGATGGGAAAGTTGCCTTGGCGCCAAAGTTTCCGCATAATAAAAATATATTATATTATATATAATAATATATATATATATATATATATATATATATATATATATATATTATATATATATATATATATATATATATATATATATATAATATATATATATATATAATATATATATATATGTCAGTAGCAACCTTTCTCAAGAACACCACTCCATTAGCAATTATTCATTCCTAAGCTGAATTGCTTTGCAACCTGCACGCTTGATATGCATGTAGTCAAGATTCTGGCAGTGCAGTTGGCTCCTGACTCACCCTGTTCGTGCATGATAGTACTTAGCAATAAATTGTGTTGATTTCTTATGAATACAGATAATTACCTCATCAAATAAATGAGTTTATAGAGGCAGACTTGAGATGAGCTGATGTTAGGATAACAGCTCTAGCAGGAGTATGAGTGAGAGAGAGAGAGAGAGAGAGAGAGAGAGAGAGAGAGAGAGAGAGAGAGAGAGAGAGAGAGAGAGAGAGAGAGAGAGAGAGAGAGAGAGAGAGAGACAGAGAGAGAGAAGCAAAGACAGGAGACCAACACATGCAAGACAGACCCACAAGTCTCAGGAAATAATGAGATCGACTAAAGATAAACTTCCCCCTTCAGAACAGGTGTGTTGGGGCAGCAGATGTGGTGGGGGGGGGAGCAGGTGTGGTGTTGGGGGTTGGGGAGGATGGCAAGTAGCTGGGTGAGAGGGGGGCAGTGAGAGGGGGTAACCCAGGAAGCAGAAGGAGAGGAGGGAGAGCAAGAGGTGAACCGTTTGAGGCCAGGCTGAACACGGCTTCAGTGGGCCGGCCTGAGGGGAAACTCAACTCACGTCCCGCCGAACATCAAACGAATCTTTTTTTTCCATGATATCAAGGCTCGCTATCCCTGAGTCTTGCTCGCGGCTCCGACACGATCACCAACCACTTAAAACCCCTCTTGTTGTTAGTTGGCCCGCTGGGGGTTTTCATTGGACGGACCGGCTTTATATATATATTTATATACCTCTTTTGGCGGGACAACCGGACAGCTGTTGTGGTCCCGCGATATTCTTGGTGTGTGATCTTAGATGCTGTGAGGTAGCCTGCCCCGCTGCCTGAAGTAGCCTGCACCGCTGCCTGAGGTAGCCTGCCACCGCTGCCTGAGGTAGCCTGCCCCCGCTGCTTGAAGTAGCCTGCCACCGCTGCTTGAAGTAGCCTGCCCCCGCTGCCTGAAGTAGCCTGCCCCCGCTGCCTGAAGTAGCCTGCCACCGCTGCCTGAAGTAGCCTGCCACCGCTGCCTGAAGTAGCCTGCCACCGCTGCCTGAAGTAGCCTGCCCTCGCTGCTTGAAGTAGCCTGCCCTCGCTGCCTGAAGTAGCCTGCCCGCTGCTGAAGTAGCCTGCCACCGCTGCCTGAAGTAGCCTGCCACCGCTGCCTGAGGTGCCTGCACCGCTGACCTGAAGTAGCCTGCCACCGCTGCCTGAAGTAGCCTGCCCCGCTGCCTGAAGTATCTGCCCCCCGCTGCCTGAAGTAGCCTGCCCCCGCTGCCTGAAGTAGCCTGCCCCGCTGCTTGAAGTAGCCTGCCCCGCTGCCTGAAGTAGCATGCCCCGCTGCCTGAGGTAGCCTGCCCCGCTGCCTGAAGTAGCCTGCCCCGCTGCCTGAAGTAGCCTGCCCCCGCTGCCTGAAGTAGCCTGCCCCGCTGCCTGAAGTATCCTGCCCCGCTGCCTGAAGTAGCTGCCCCGCTGCCTGAAGTAGCCTGCCCCCGCTGCCTGAAGTAAGCCTGCCCCGCTGCCTGAAGTAGCCTGCACCGCTGCCTGAAGTAGCCTGCCCCGCTGCCTGAAGTAGCCTGCCCTCGCTGCTTGAAGTAGCCTGCCCCGCTGCCTGAGGTAGCCTGCCCCGCTGCCTGAAGTAGCCTGCCCCCGCTGACTGAAGTAGCCTGCCCCGCTGCCTGAAGTAGCCTGCCCCCGCTGCCTGAAGTAGCCTGCCCCACTGCCTGAAGTAGCCTGCCCCGCTGGCCTGAGGTAGCCTGCCCCGCTGCCTGAGGTAGCCTGCACCGCTGCCTGAAGTAGCCTGCCACCGCTGCCTGAAGTAGCCTGCACCGCTGCCTGAAGTAGCCTGCCATCGCTGCCTGAAGTAGCCTGCCCCCTCTGCCTGAAGTAGCCTGCCACCGCTGCCTGAAGTAGCCTGCCCCGCTGCCTGAAGTAGCCTGCCCCGCTGCCTGAAGTAGCCTGCCCCGCTGCCTGAAGTAGCCTGCCACTGCTGCCTGAAGTAGCCTGCATCGCTATCTGAAGCCCAAGCTGCTTTTCATGTCAAAAAGAGACCTTCACAGCGTTCAATGAGTAATTAGCCCCCTGGAGGACCCCCACGGAAGACCGCTCCATCTCAACATTTTTTGCAACTGTTTCTATTGAGATAGAAGGAGGGGAGGGAGGTCTTGTTCCATCAGTCTACCGAGGGGAGCATTCCCCTTTCTGGTGCCGCCCCCCCGTCTTGAGAGGCGGTCGACAATGGCTGGAAATTAGGCGGAATGCTTGAAGTCTGTCTGAAACATTCTGAACTGCCCTGGTCGCTCGAGTGGCCTAATTACCCAGATGAAAGAAGCACACACAAGGCGCTCTTTGATGTTCCAGCTTTTGTTTCAAGTGGAATACCAGCCGCCCACCTTCGCCCTCCGTAGAGGTAATGATCTCTGCAGCCTCTGTCAGAGCTCTGTCTAGAGCCTCTGCCAGAGCTCTGTCTAGAGCCTCTGCCAGAGCCTCTGTCTAGAGCTTCCACCAGAGCTCTGTCTAGAGCCTCCACCAGATCTCTGTCTAGAGCTTCCACCAGAAGACTGTCTAGAGCCTTAAAGAGAGAGACCCCCTCAGAGAGAGGGAGAGAGACGACCCCACAGAGAGAGAGGGACAGAGAGAGAGAGACCCCACAGAGAGAGAGAGAGAGAGAGACGAGAGAGAGAGAGAGAGAGAAGAGAGAGAGAGAGAGAGAGAGAGAGAGAGAGAGGAGAGAGAGAGAGAGAGAGAGAAGAGAGAGAGAGAGAGGGACAGAGAGAGAGACCCCACAGAGAGAGAGGGAGAGAGAGAGAGACCCCTCAGAGAGAGAGAGGGAGAGAGACGACCCCACAGAATCTGCGACTCATTATTCACCCCATGTCAACCAGAAACTCTGTACACTACCTGCCGAAGTAGACCTGACCAAATGTAAACTCGGTGAAATTATTCGCTGTAAAACTCGGCCGTGCATTCGAGAACGAACCTGTATACGCATGGTGACAGAGCACCCTGGTGGCCAGCTTCGTCACTACCAGCGTGTTTATTTTGCTATGATTCCCCGCTCTTAAAAAGGAATTTAAGTGACTTTTCTTAATTCTACGAGAGATATATGGCGTTAATAATGCCTCGGAACTTATGAATAGTGCTTTAGGACTTACGAATGATGCCTCAGGACTTACGAATGATGCCTCAGGACTTACGAATAATGCCTCAGGACTTACGAATGATGCATCGGTTTCGTTTTGAACTCGACTTGTGATCTTCTTGTCAGTGTTGGGACAATTATTTACATGTTTCTTTCGGGGATATTTGGAGTATCTGTTTCCAATACTTCCTAAAGTCTTGTAGTTGTTTTGTCCTCGTATACTTTGGTTTACTGAGGTGTCCTTGATGTAAGGTTTACTGAGGTGTCCTTGATGTAAGGTTTACCGAGACGTCCTTGATGTAAGGTTTACTGAGACGTCCTTGATGTAAGGTTTACTGAGACGTCCTTGATGTAAGGTTTACTGAGACGTCCTTGATGTAAGGTTTACTGAGACGTCCTTGATGTAAGGTTTACTGAGACGTCCTTGATGTAAGGTTTACTGAGACGTCCTTGATGTAAGGTTTACTGAGACGTCCTTGATGTAAGGTTTACTGAACGTCCATGAGGTAAGGTTTACTGAGACGTCCTTGATGTAAGGTTTACTGAGACGTCCTTGATGTAAGGTTTACTGAGACGTCCTTGATGTAAGGTTTACTGAGACGTCCTTGATGTAAGGTTTACTGAGGTGTCCTTGATGTAAGGTTTACCGATGTGTCCTTGATGTAAGGTTTACTGAGGTGTCCTTGATGTAAGGTTACTGAGGTGTCCTTGAGGTAAGGTTTACTGAGACGTCCTTGATGTAAGGTTTTACTGAGACGTCCTTGATGTAAGGTTTACTGAGACGTCCTTGATGTAAGGTTTACTGAGCCGTCCTTGATGTAAGGTTTACCGAGACGGCCTTGATGTAAGGTTTACTGAGACGTCCTTGATGTAAGGTTTACTGAGACGTCCTTGATGTAAGGTTTACTGAGGTGTCCTTGATGTAAGGTTTACTGAGACGTCCTTGATGTAAGGTTTACTGAGACGTCCTTGATGTAAGGTTTACTGAGCCGTCCTTGATGTAAGGTTTACCGAGACGGCCTTGATGTAAGGTTTACTGAGGTGTCCTTGATGTAAGGTTTACTGAGACGTCTTTGATGTAAGGTTTACTGAGACGTCTTTGATGTAAGGTTTACTGAGGCATCCTTGATGCAAGGTTTACTGAGGTGTCCTTGATGTAACGTTTACTGAGACGTCCTTGATGTAAGGTTTACTGAGACGTCCTTGATGTAAGGTTTACTGAGCCGTCCTTAATATAAGGTGTTTACTGAGATTGGTTAGGCCTGCAATATTGCAAGCATAGAAGATGTGTTCCTGGATGTATGTTCTCTGTTAAACTATTTCTTTAGTTCTTGAATGCTTCCTTACCTCCGGAGGAGGCTGTATGATTGATCGTCTACGCGGCTTTGTCTCCCAGTCAATTCTTGCGTATTGGCCTCTTTCATGGCTGGCGTTTGGTATTGGTGTTTGTTAATGGTGTTATTGGTAGGTGGTTGTTTGTGCTTGCTGGGTCCTCCTTTGTGGGTGGTTAGGGAGTGGTGGTTGTTTGTCAACATTGTTTGTGGTTTGTTTCTGAGGGGGGGGGGAGGGTGAGAGGGGAGTGAGAGAGAGAGGAAGTGAGGAAGATAGGTATGGAGGGAAGGATGAATGGAGAGATAAGGAAAATGAGAGAGGGAGGGTTGGGAGGAAAGAAATGAGGGAGACAGGGAGTATCTCATCATCTTAGTAGGCGTGTTGTGAACTCCAGGGTGTGAACTCCAGGGTGAGAACTCCAGGGTGAGAACTCCAGGGTGAGAACTCCAGGGTGTGAACTCCAGGGTGTGAACTCCAGGGTGAGAACTCCAGGGTGAGAACTCCAGGGGTGAGAACTCCAGGGTGAGAACTCCAGGGTGAGAACTCCAGGGTGAGAACTCCAGTGGTGAGAACTCCAGTGGTGAGAACTCCAGTGGTGAGAACTCCAGTGGTGAGAACTCCAGTGGTGAGAACTCCAGGGTGAGAACTCCAGTGGTGAGAACTCCAGTGGTGAGAACTCCAGGGTGAGAACTCCAGGGTGAGAACCCCAAGTTAACCAAAGTCGCATGAGAGAGAAGAGACATAGTTGACGCATTTTGTGTCTCACTGCGTGACATTAGGTGGATAGGAAAAGATGGCTTATTGACCTTAATGACTCGTGTTTATAGTGAATAAGAAGCAATATTGGGGAATTGAGAGATGGGTGGAGGGGACGCCATTGTGGCTTTACCCGCAGTGTAGAGATTGACAGGTCCGCCAGCAGTGTGTGTGTGGGAGGTCTTGCTGAAGCGTTTGAGTTATTTTATAGTTGTCTATAGAAGAGGATTATTTTGTTATATGTGAAATTAGAGGTTCGTGTGGTAGCCGAGAGAGGCTAGTTTCATCTGAACGTACAGTTCAGATGGTCGAACTATTGATGGCACTGAACTATTACTTGGTGGCAATAGTTCGTCAGAGAGGAGATCCACCCTGAGTAGAGGAAGGTTGACCAACAGTTCTGATCCACCAGGGATCATTGATCATCTTCAATTGGCTGTTTGGGAGATTCCACTGTAACTGTACACATGACGCTGAGAATGCGAAGCCCCAGTTAATGTGGGCTCCAAAATCTGATTGTCTCGAGTTAAACACTTGCCATAGTCCCCGTCCGATAACACAATTAAGTACCACATTTACAAAACATGTCTAACAACCAGCCTTCAAGGAATGACTTACCTACTGGAGGCTAAGTCATTGTCACGATGACTTGGCGCAGAGAGACGGCTTCCTACCCTACCTGCGAAAGTAAGATAATGAAGTTAAATACAAAACAGCCTAATATTACAACAGATAAAAAGCAAGAGAGAGAGAGAGAGAGAGAGAGAGAGAGAGAGAGAGAGAGAGAGAGAGAGAGAGAGCGAGAGCGAGAGAGAGAGAGAGAGAGCGAGAGACAGATACAGATAGAGACAGAGAGAGAGACAGAGAGAGACAGAGAAACAGAGAGACAGACAGACAAAAACTAAGAAAAAAATAATTAAAACTGCCGAAAATGCAGAGTCGGCTAAAAAAAAAGTTGTGTAAGGTTGTGGAGGCTGGCGGCGGCCCGAGGCACGCGCCCCGCCACCTGAAAGACCCGCCCTCAGCAGGGCTCCAGCAGACAAAGGTAAGGGCAGATCAAAAGCTGCCGCCAGGTTGAGGGGGCGGGGGAGAGGGGGAGAGAAAGAGGGCACTGGAGAAAGGGTTGAAGGGGTTGACGGGGGGTAGGGGGGAGGAGGGGCTTAAGGCGTTGAGCTTTGCCTCAAGACGAAGCTTGGGCTGATCTCTAATTTGCTTCTTGGGTGGAAAGGGAGGGATTAAAACTGGAAAGGGTGTAACCTCCCACGGTGCAGGAAAGTGCCGTTGTTTCTCTTGGTATAAATCATGAACCTGATACATTCTGAGTCGAGTTCCAGTTTTTGTTATCCATTTGGAACAATGCTGATCTTCAATAAAGAAATTCTGGAGGGCTTCTGTGCAAGGATTAGGATGAGTTAGCCTAAGCATTTTTATACCAATTTGACAGTTAATTTCAGTAACACGATCAACAACGCTCGGAATATTAAGTTCCTTTCTCATATTAAGTATCTTTGTGGTACGAGGGCACCCAAGGATTATCCGAGAGCAGCAGTACACCGATAACTTCAACAAGATCTTGTAGATCTGAGGCAAAGAGAAACTGACACCAGTAATTCCATCTATCATCATACTATCATGCAAGAGGAGCCACACATCTATGGATCATCCAATAAAATCAGCAGACTTCTAGATGTTACTACTGCTCGGCTTAGACTCGGTTACAAGTATCTCTGGGAATTCTCATTATCTGCTGATGTAGACCTGATCAAATGTAAACTGTGTC